GGGTGAGGGTGGGGTGAGGGAGCACCGTAGGCGTTTTGACCCCAAATGACCCCCAGCCACATCGCTAACACGCGGATCCACGTTAACGGCCGCCAATAAAACTTTGCTAATTGAGCCGTGCGGCGCAGCACGGCACAAAGCTCCTAATCCCCAGGCCGCGGAGTCGCAACGGGCCGTTCGCCCCGCACTGTGGCCCAAATACCATTCCGCACGGCCACAAATCACGTCTGCCGTCTGACAATCTGTTATTTACTCTTCTTTGGAGACGATGGTCAAAGGGGCTTGCAAAACTAACGGTCCGCGTATGCAGAATGCCAGCCGCTCGGTTTCTCGGCCCTGCCAGACGAATGTGACGAAAGAACCATGGCTCGCGCGCGCGATTCCCTCCTCGCAGAATTGAAGAGCTCTTTCCGAAGTAATAACTCAATTTCCGTTTAATTTCGTGTTTTACGCATCAATATATTCTCAAGACGCTTCTCAACCATGCTCCCAAATAGTGTGTTTAAAATTGAAATTTCTCATACGTAAAAGTTACCTGAAAACATCGATACCCATCTTGCTGAGCTTCAACGCTGAATTTCAATACATTCACTTCTGAAAAATTGTGTTTCTTGGATACACATCGATTTGGAAAAACGCTTTTCAATTCTACCCTTCGACTAGGAAGGAACACCGGATTCATCAGACTTTATCCCCGAAAACAATACGGGTTTTGATAGCAAATGTCTCCTAGATGTTTCAATTACTATGTTTTTGGCTACACGTTGTACTACACTTGTTGCTCACGATTGGGAGGTCCAACTGTCGAGCACAAAGGCGGGGCAACGTACATCTTGTGCGTTATACTACACGTAGATTTCGATGAGAGCTTGCGAGTATATTTCTATCTAAAATCAGATATGAAATCATGTTCACAATAAATAAAATTAAACCTACAGAAAACGAACAAATGCGTAACAACTGAGATGCTAAAAGTTGTGTACATTTCTAACAATAAATATGGTCTAGACCGTTTTAAGAAGAATCCTGTCACATTAATACCCATCGAAGAGAGAATTTTCAACTTTCGTGTATTCTGCCCGCCTATCGGAATGTTCTGCCACTGCTCGCTCGCCTCCATCAATGCATTATTTTCGGAGCCGCGATTGCGAAAAGCAATTGTTCGTTCCAGCGGCCGCGTGGAACGTGATAATGTCTGTCTTATCAGGATGCTGCAGATATTTCGCGCGATACGCCGAGAACTTTCCCTAATTTCCAGTCAGCACGAAAGTGAGCTGCTGCCGCGGCTGCAGCCCAAGGCGACGCGCAACCCGCCTCCGCCGCCGCCGCCGCCGCCGCCGCCGCCGCCGCCGCAGCCGCCATCATTGGTAGCTCCGCGGCCGGTGCAGCCACGCTGGGCGCTGGCCCACTTGCGATGCGGAGAGCGAACCAGCGGCGGTCTTAGGTGGCAGCCTCAGTAGGGATGCAATGTCGATGTGATGTTTCCAAAACATCAATGTTTCTACAAACAATCGATGTTTCTACAAACAATCGATGTTTCTACAAACACATCGATGTAAACATTGAAATATATAATAACCGATGGTACCACCGTCTTGTTTGTGTTCGAACCAACCGAGCGTTGTTTGGGCTACCGCCATGGAGCAGACTATCCGTCCCTCGAGATGATACCGATGCCCTAGGATTTTCTTTGTCTGCTCGTATTTCGCATTTGGGGAGATTTTTTAAACCATTGTTCTCGGTTAAATTTTCATTATACAATAATATAAACGTCTTCTGTCAGCTTAAATTTTAGTGCGCACAAATTTATTGTTAGAAGCTACTACACCACCTTTCAAACATCGACTTTTAAGAACATCGATGATTTTCGTTCGATATGTTATTAATGTCGATGTTTTAATGTTAAGCATCGATGTTTGGCCATATCTGTGTTTTTTATCATCGTCTAATCACTAGATCACAGTGGAGCCGATAATGGCCGAAATTTCGGTCAGTCAACGTCAAACGTTGTTTTCCGATGTGCCGGATTCGTTCAAGCACGCGATGGTAAACGGAAATGGTCATAGTGGACTCAAACGACCTCTTCCCACGGCGGTTCAAAAAACATCGACTGTGGGACGAAGATCTGTTTCGATTGGTTTTGTCCGTCCGACGACTGACCGAAATTCCGGACAAAATCGGCTTCATTGTGACTGCCGCGTCAGGCCGCCCATTCAAGTTCGCTCAATACATCTAAATGGCGCGAAGTCACCCCAAGCACCGTTTCTCAGGAAGGAGAAAAGCAGACCGATGAAAGAGCAAAGCGATTAGTGCGAAATCGGGTCGGTCCAAAATCAAACCGCTCGTGATCGAGGAAAACCCAGGCTCATTTCATGCAAAATGTTTCAGATCAGTTATTGGATACCAGGGCGGTCAGTGATGCGTAAGCATATGCCTAGCAGCACTGGCATCTCAGGTCCAAATAGCTCGTCAGCGTTGATATCCTACTGGTATTAAGACGTGACGGTGAATGAGGTCAATTTTTTGGAAGTAATCTATTTGGAGGAGATCCATTTGGATGACATCCATCGCATCTCGTGCATTCCGACTGATCGTCAATGCCCGACATAACAACACATCGCCTAGCTGCGCATCGTGAGATCCTCGCTACGTACTGATGTTATCCCAAGAGCAAGTACGAAAAAGAAAGAAAGAAAACAAAAAATAGGGCAATGAATAAGATAACGAGTGAAGGTCTTAGGTAGTTGTTTGAGAAACACATGGTGTTTATGGATGGCGACTAAACGGGGAATAAACTTCAAAAAGGGACAGAAGGAAAAATATGGTCGGAAAAGAGGTTGAATGAAATAGCAAGGGAGAGGCAATAAATAGAAAGAAGAAAAAGTAAGTGAAATAAGTACCGAGAGAACACATAAAGAAAGACCATGTTAATGCTCGATCAAGAAAACGACAACGAGAAAGGAAAGTGGCGAAAGATGTTGGAACGTCGGCTGGAAAGACAAACAGCAGTGGAAAGCACAAAGGTTTGTGGCGTGAAAATCTCTCTGTGTAGAGCAGAAACGTGGGAAGTGCATATGGAACAGGGCAACAGCCGGGGAAAGTATCATCCAGCACAGAGAACAAACCGCCTTTTCAGCGGTTCTCGGCAGTAAGAATTCATTTCGCTTACCTTCTGACGCAGGGATCGCATCTAAACAAGCGAGAGACGGCATGCACTATCGTACGGGTGCTTACAATAGGCGAGGTTGGGAAAGTAAGTCGGAGAAATCCCGGTGAAAGAACGGATGCAGGGCACTAGTGACAAAACCTGGCGGTTAGAGGAAAATGTGTGCACTGACGCTCGTCGATGCTATATGCAATATTCGAATGCAAATCATAGAAGACATCTGAAGTGATTATGTAATCAGTAGATCCTACCTTATACACAGCAGATCCACGGAAAATTGATAATCCAATTGAATTCAGCCATTCAATTCCACGTGGATTTTTTTTCATAGAACTCATATTTCGCGCTTCAGTAAAGACCGCCGAAAAGGCAAAATGTAACCCGGAGAGAAAAAAGCGCCGGCGAAGCGGCGGAAAGAGGCAAACAGGCGAAGCGAAATTAAACGAAGCGCGCCCAGCCCGCGCGGGCGCGGCGAAGGTTCATTTCGTTTCGTTACATCGCGTCTTGTGTGTTCGTGCTTTTTGAAACGCCGAGGCGTCACACCAGAGCGCGGGGTGCTTTCGCGAATGGCCTGGGAGAGCGCGTCAGTCTCTTTGAGCACTCACACTCACAAATGCGCGCAAATCGCGACCCATGCGTGCACGAGGAGGCAGGGCCGCCGACAAACTCCCGGCCCCGGTGCAGACAAGGTAATATGTGGGTCCTTATAGAAATATTGTAGATGTGTATAGGTACATATTGGTATTTCTTACACTATTATAATGATCTAGGAGTATTTAGATAAGATAATACTTCTGAGCTCGACAGTTCACAATGGCTCTCAGTGCACTTTTCCGAATTCGCGGTATTTCATCACGTGACATAATAGAAATTGATTTTAGCGTGGATTTTAATGTTGAAAATGTATTAACTTACAAAACAGAATAATTTATGATGCGATAAAGATTAAATTACATAAAGGTTCAAATTATAATAAACATTTTGAGACGCGTTGTACTTCATTGGCCCTCTTGAGGTCCATGGGCCACTTTGAGATTCACGGGCCTCTGAGCAATGTATCAAGTGCACCCCCTCTCCTCGGGCCTGCAAGGAGGGCCCTGTGCGGCGGCGGCGGCGGCGGCGGCGCGTGGCTCGCGGGCCGTAAGTAGAGCGCGGACGCCAGTCGGGGGCGAAAGACAGGCGCCGCGGAGCGCGCGCTGGTGTCCGGGCGCGGCGGGGCAGCGAGGGGCTGGGCAGTCCGGGCGGGTGGGCGAGCACAGAGGACGCCAGTTGTGTTTGGGCGCTGAGCTGCGAGGGCGCTCGGAAATCGGCTCCGGTCGCGGGCGGCGCGGATGTAGCGAACGGGCCCAAGCTGGATCCCGGATGCCCAAATGCAAGACTTGCGATCAGGCTGCTCGCAGTAGTCCCGACTGCCATTCGCCCTCAATACACTACAGCGAATCGCCCCGAAGTACCCGCCTATCCTGTCGCGCACCCCCAAAACGGCAGGAACACCGGTGGGCCGCAGATAAGCGCTGGACCAGGGCACGCAAGTGGGCCGCCCACTTGAGTAGCCCTGCTCTAATCTGCAACCGCAACCGCAAATTTCATCGTACTGACACGAGTATCGTGCTTTTGCGTCCCTTGGTGGCTGTTTAAAAAATAAATTATCTGGATTCATATTTATTTTAACATCAAGCAAAACATCTTGTAATAATACAATATTTATTGACTCCATATATAACATTAATATCACTCGCCCCCCGCCCCCCGAGGAAGGGAAGGGCAAGTTTATTACGATGATAACAAACACTTGGTCACGAAGAAAGTTGTTATATTGAACATAGAGGGTTCGGGGTAGACCTATACATGGCATAAATATTGCAGACGTCGCCACTGGACAATTTCGAAGCCCCCTCAGACGCCCACATTGGTCTTAGAAGCTCTCCCGTCCTTCCGCAGGCGGTCATTTAGCATTGACAAAGATAAACGCACTGCTTAAATATACTGAGCAACACAGTGGAGGTGTACTTTACTTTATTTTCGAAGGTCATTCCCAGGCTAATCAAAAGAACGAATAAATGATTTAGAAAATAAATAAAAACATACAAATGAACAAGTGTAGTCGATCGTTCTCTTGGGCGCTTGTAAATCGTTAAAAAAAGAAACAATACGTCACCGTGTGAATTTCAAGACCCTAAATATTAAAACTCGTTTGGCAATAAAAATTATTCCGTACAAATATTACTAAAAAAATATTGCCCTACAATCATTAGTTCCAGTGCAACATCGATAATAAGTTCAATAAGGAAAAAGTAAAACCATCCGAATGCTCCGTGAAGTTTTCCAGCGCAAGCACATGCCGCTGCGCTCGTCTGAAGGCGGCGGCGGCGGCGTGCGAAGAGCCTC